TGAGAAATGTCTATTCATGTCTTCTGTGCATCTTACAATTAGATTATTTGTTTTTTGGGTGTTCAGTTTGATATGTTCTTTATAGATTTTGGATACTACCCCTTTTAGTTTTGTTGATTGTTTCCTTTGCTGTGCAGAAGGTTTTTATTCTGATGTAGTCCCAAGAGTTTATTTTTGCTTTTGTTGCCCTTGTCTCAGGAGACATATCTAGAAAGAAATTGCTATGGCCAAGGTCAAAGAGGTTACTGCCTGTGTTCTCTTCTAGGATTCTTATGGTTTCAGGTTTCACAGTTAGGTCTCTGATCCATTTTGAATTTTTTTTTTTTAATTTTTAAAAAAAATTTTTTTTTTCCAACGTTTATTTATTTTTGGGACAGAGAGAGACAGAGCATGAACGGGGGAGGGGCAGAGAGAGAGGGAGACACAGAATCGGAAACAGGCTCCAGGCTCTGAGCCATCAGCCCAGAGCCCGACGCGGGGCTCGAACTCCCGGACCGCGAGATCGTGACCTGGCTGAAGTCGGACGCTTAACCGACTGCGCCACCCAGGCGCCCCCATTTTGAATTTTTTTGGTGTGTGTGTATGGTGTAAGAAAGTGGTCTAGTTTCATTCTTTTGTATGGTGCTGTCCAGTTTTCCCAATACCATTTGTTGAAGAAAACATTCTTTTTTCCATCGCATTCTTTCCTGCTTTGTTGAAGATTAATTGAACATATAGTTGTGGGTTCGTTTCTGGGCTTTCTTTCTGTTCCGTTGATCTATTTTTGTGCCAGTATCAAAGTGTCTTGATCACTACAGCTTTGTAATATAACTTGAAGTCCGTAATTGTGATGCCTCTAGCTTTGCTTTTCTTTTTCAAGGTTGCTTTGGCTATTTGGGGTCTTTTTGGGTTCCATACAAGTTTTAGGATTATTTGTTGTAGCTCTGTGAAAAATGCTGTTTGTATTTTGATAGGGATTGCATTAAATGTGTATATTGCTTTGGGTAGTATAGACATTTTAAAAATATTTGTTCTTCTAATCCATGAGCTTCGCATGTCTTTCTATTTCTTTGTGTCATATTCAGTGTTTTACAGTTTTAGGAGTACAGGTCTTTTACCTCTTTGGTTAGGTTTATTCCTATGTATCATATTGTTTTTGGTGCAGTTGTAAGTGGGATTGATACCTGAATTTGCCTTTCTGCTGCTTCATTATTGGTATAAGAATGTAACAGATTTCTGTAAGTTATTTTGTATCCTGTGACTTTAGTGAATTTGTGTATTAGTTCTAGCAGTTTTTTGTGGAGTCTTTTGAGTCTTCTATATATAGTATTATCTTATCTGCAAATAGTGAAAATTTTACTTCTTTGTCAACATGGATGCCTTTTATTTATTTTTTGTTGTTTGCTTGCTGTGGTTAAGACTTCCAGTATTATATTAAATAAAAGTGGTGAGACTGGACATCCTGTCTTATTTCTGACCATAGAGGAAAAGCTCTCAGTTTCTCCCCACTGAGAATATTAGCTCTGAGTTTTAAAACAGCTGTCCCAATCTTCACTCCTTATAGCACTGTCCCTCCTCAATTTACTCTAATCAAGACTCCCTGGCACTCTACGAAGGACTTAACTCAGTTTTTATCAAGGTTACCAGTTACCTCCATCTAGCCAAAGCCAGTGGTGGTTTCTCTGTTCTGGTCTTACTCAAAGACACATAAGAATGTTCTATACCTTCAGAGTATACCCTCTTTGAAACATGTTATGCTCTTCATTTCCATGATATCTCCCTCTCCTAGGATTTCCATCTACTTTACTGACCATTCCTTCTCAGTTTCCTGTGTTGGTTCTTTGCTCTGCTTTAAATTCTCACTATTAGAAGGTCTCAGTGCTTGGTGGTGGGTCCTGGTCTTTTTTCTGTCTACAGTAACTCAGGAAAGTTCAGCCAATTCCATGGTTTTATGTAACATCAAAATGCACTGCTACCAAATTGATATCTTCGGGTCTAACTTTTCCCCTAAATGCCAGACTCATATGAAAAGGCCTATTTGATGTCTAATCTTGGACATTTATTAGATTTACCACATGCAAAATATTCTTGATTCTTGATCTCCTTCCCCGTCCTTAGGTTGCTTCTCCTTCAGCCTTTCTCATTTCAGTAAATGGCTCTACTCATTAAGTGAATTTAAGAGTGTTCCTGGAGTTCTCTCCACTGTCTCTTCCCCCCACCCCCATATCTAACTTATCAGTAAATCCTATTGGATCTACCCCAAAATATATCTCGAGCTCATCAACTTCTTTTCATCTTCACTGTTACTACCCAAATACCAGATATCATCAACTCTTGCCCTGTAATTATTCCCTAATCAGTCTCACCTGCTTCTACTCTGATCTCTCTAAAATTCTGACTTCACATAACGGCTAAAGTAATCTTTTTAGCATATAAACCTCATTTTATGTCACCATACTCTCTCCCAACTCTTCCCTAGTTTTTTTTTTATTTTTATTTTTTTAATGTTCATTTATTTTGAGAGAGAGAGATAGAGAGCAAGCAGGGGAGGGGCAGAGAGAGGCAGACAGAGAATCCCAAGCTGGCTACACACTGTCAGTGCAGAGCCCAATGCAGGGCTTGAACTCATGAACCATGAGATCATGATCTGAATCGAAACCAGGAGTCAGACACTTAACCGATTGAGCTACACAGGTGCCCCAACTCTTCCCTAGTTTTAAAACCTCTGGTGTCTCCTGGGGCACCTGGGTGGCTCAGTCGGTTAAGCATCAGACTTCGGCTCAGGTCGTGATCTCCTGGTTTGTGAGTTCAAGCCCCATGTCAGGCTCTGTGCTGACAGCTCAGAGCCTGGAATCTGCTTCAGATTCTGTGTGTGTGTGTGTCTCTCTCTCTCTTGCAAAAATAAATAAATATTTAAAACCTCTGGTGTCTTCTGTTGCCCATCAGAGAGAATTTATAGACTCCTTATCCCAACCAGTAAAGTCTTAGTAACTACCCTTGCCTTCCTCCTTGGCCCCACCTAATACATACCACATACTTAGCACACTCCAGCAACACAGAGTCTCTCCTCAAACACACCAAGCCATTCCCCCCGGCTCAGGGCCTTTGCACTAGCCATCCCTCTTTCTAGAACATTCTTTCTTCTGGTCTTCACTGGATTGGCTCTTTCTTGTCCCTCAGGTGTCAGCTGAAAAGGCATCTCCCTGGTGGCCTTTCATAAGTACCTCCCCAGTACTTTCTAACACATCAACTTTTTTTATTTCTTCAAAGCCATTATCATTATCAGAAGTCATCTTGTTAATTTGTCTGTTGTGTGTCAATTGCACTAGAGTGTAAGCTCTAAGAGAGGAGAGACCTTGCCTGTCTTTTTCATTCTAATGTCCCTGATACCTATATTGTGTCTGGCACCCAGCCTGTGCCAGTTTAAATAGCTATAGAATAAATAAACCATTTTCCAGGCAGGACTCAGGATAGAACAAAAAGCCTGGGGATTTGTGAGTCTTATAAGTTAGCAGTGTATGATACATATTTGCATGCAAGGTTTTGCTTTTCCCAGCCTGGCTGTTTTTTCTCTGTCTTTTCTCTTTCTTCAGGATGGACTTGTCTGTGTTCCCATCTCTAAACAGCCTTTACAAAGCCATATTTCATCCTTCTTGTCTTTTGACATCACCCAGAGATTCTTTCCTGAAAAAGAGTAATTCTAGCACACTGTGGTCCATAAAGCTGTTTCTTATTATATCAAATTAAAGGACTTCCTGATCACTGGTCCAAGGCTTGTCTACTTTTAACAAATGTTCCACTATTGTTACAGTGTAATTTTGTATAGATTCTCCTTTGGAGTTTCTGGTTTTCTTGATCTTAATTTGTCTTCTTTGACTTCTTTTGTGATAAAAAAAAACCTTTTTGGTACTTCTTCTCTTACTATACTTTAAACAGAAAGAAATCAAATATGTAAGTTATAAATGGATGCCACACATTCATTGTGCGTGTGTGTGTGTGTGTGTGTGTGTGTGTGTGTGTGTGTAAGTATATATAACTATTACCTTTGTTCCATGAAAGGAAGGTATATGGAAAATGACCTCCAAAGGCCAAAGGAGCCATAAGACCAAAGAAAAAGGCCAACAAGTCCAGCTTGATGAGAAATGGTTTATTAAGGGGATTTATGGATAGGAACCTGTCTTGGGTGGGCACAAAAGGAGTAGGTCTTGACATCCCCACCTCCCTTAAGACCTGTTTTATAGCCCTAGAGGCTGGGAATACATGCTGACGGACCACTCCAGAGAAGATCTTTAAGAAGAGGTGTATGTCATAGTCATATCTCCAGGGCAGATCAATGACTTTATGCCCCAAGGGTATGGTATAAGCCAAAGGAAAGAAGTAGGGGGAGGGCAGGGAGAGGCTGTGCTCAAGAAGATTTCAGGTTACAGAACAGTCATGGTGGCAGATTTGTCCAAAGTGGCATTAGTCTAGTTGGACAACCTTTTTTCACGTGGCTCTTCCTTATATCCTAATTGCTGTTTCATTGTCAAAATATATATCAAATTAAATACAAGGATGCTGACTTATATAAAGAGATTTGTCTATTTTTTTTCCAGTACAGAATAGAATTTTTTTTTTTAATTGAAGGTCTAGCAGAAGAGGTACTCTTTTGTAGGTATTTGCTCATGTATGCACATACTCACATACTTCCAGAAATCTCAAGGTGCTCCTAGGAGTTATTATGTTCTGCTATATGATGTTGCAGAAAATACCAATACTTTATCAATAACACTGTGAACACTTGTGACATTATATGCATCTGCACTGCCTGAAGAGCTAACTGTGCTTCAACTCTGGTCCCCAGAGTCTCTGCCCAGAAGGAACTTCTTTAGTTATTGCTTTATCCAGGTTTTCTTCCATCTTTAGTTTCCACTTTTATTTTGTATTGTTAAATTATACTCCAGAGAATTCTTAAAGGTGTTTCTACTGCTCTCCTGTTTTGATGCTACCCCAGATCTACTTACCCTACAAGGACTACATCCTTCCATGCCCTGCTGAGATCTTTTATTCGCTCTCAAACCCACGGACTTCTGTTTCAACACCACATTAGCATGAGTGGACGGGCCATACTGAAGGACTTTTGCTGAATGATCTCATTTTTGTGACTTAATGAGAAGCTCTATTAAGCGGGGTGTGAGGGAGCAATCAAGCTGTCCAATAGCTAAATTTCCTAGGCTGTTGTGCTGTGCAGATTCTTTAGTACTTCAGGTTGGAACATAGTCATGGTGTTTTCCAGCTAAAGGTTGTAATCCTAGAGCAAAGACAGAAAGTTACCTGTGATCAATTTTATATATTTTCAGGGTTATATTTCAAAAGGAGATCTATCTTACACTGAAATTCCTAGATGGCTTCAGTGTTGCTTTGTAGTTGTTGACTTGGAAGCAATTCCCAGTTGTCTAAAAACTTTTCTGACATTATTTTAGCTGACAAATTGTATACAAGTGGCCCTGTTTTTAAATGAATATTATTTAATCCACATTAAACCATCTTTTAGTTCTTACACAAGTCTAAAATTTATTAAAGTCAAAAGTAATGTTTAGGGAGGGTAAAATCATAAATATGATTCATAAATACTTAAAAAATCAACAATAGAGCTCCTGGTTGAATAGAAATCTCACTTAGAATTGTAGTTTATCTTTGAAAGAAAAACTTCTGGGATTAAGGGTAAACCAGTTTTAGAAAAGAAATCAAATATTATGGAATTTGAAAATCTAGTTTGGCAGATATTAGATTAATGGCCCGTAAAACCTTAGAGTCTGAATTCAGTTTACAGAGTGTTTGACTTAATTCTCTCATTTCTTTTTCTCATTTTTCCTTTGTTATTTATGTTTAAATCTTAGTGACTTTTCCTTGTATGGGTTTAAACATTTTGTACTGAATTCTAAAGAAATAGGTCCCTACCTGCCTTTTTCTTAGTGAACTTTTGAGGAAGCAGTGGTCAGGAATTTTTGTGTGTGTGAAATTACTCTTTTTATAAATATATAATCCCACAGTTTCATCAATGTACATGGTTTTTGCTTGCAAATAAGTAGGGATTTAAAAATTTGGCATATAAAAAGCAAGGTTGATAAAGGCCTTTTCATATATTTGTATCCCTAATATGTTTTTATTTTTTAAAAATATGCTGCAGCTGATTGAACTAAATTTGATTTTGACTTGTGTCACACAACTATAATTCCTTTAAAAACATGTCAGTATGCAATATATTTAAGATGATGTCAGCAACAATTCCTTCTTTATTTAGAGTAATGTAATCTGAAACTATCAACCTTTTCTACTTTCATGAGCTTTTGACTTTCAAAACATAATGCCTGAAATAATGTATTTTATTTTTGGTAAAATGTCCATCATTGGAGGGAAAATTTTTATTTAAATATGCTCGTTCCACTGATGTGGGTGTTTCTATCAGTATCTTTGTTTCTTTGAATATTCTAAACCCTTTGAGTTACTTTGGCTTAATTAGTTATCGCCTCATTTAAAAGTTAATATCATGATTTCTCTTTGTGGTCAAGAAATAAGGTGGGGAACAAAATATCAAATGATATCAGAGTTTAGTTACCTTATCGTTCTCTTCAGATAGACAGGCTTATGGAACATGTTGACTAGTAGCTCTGGGCCAGAGAGAAGGAATAATTAATATTAGAAGTATGTGGAGAGAAAAAACTCTGTAGGTTGACCTATAATGCAAACAATCCATGATGTGTAGCAAAAAGAAGAATGATCAGTGTCTTGAATTCAAGGGCCAAAGTGGCTTACTTTTATAAGGATATCTTATTGATTTTTATGAATGTTAAGTTCTATAAAGTCTAAATTGAGCAAAGAAAAATGAATGACATATTTAATTATCTACAAGTATAGGGTTGGGGGGACTTCAGTGGATAGAAAGTACATTGAAATATTAAACAACCAAAGTAGAAACCCTCTTTTAGTAAGACATTCATGCTGTGCAATACACATACACTAGTTGTTTCTGGTTTTTCACTTAAGTTATTACATGTTAGCACTAAAGAGCATGTCTGATGTTAATATTGTTGGGATCAAATATACATTAGCACCTGACAGCAGATCACTCACAGACAGCCATATTCATTTATTTGTGAATTGTTCTATCTATTATGCACATCCATTATGATAAGTGCTGTGACAGGACAGGAGGGTGCAAAATTGAATCACATGAAAAACCTACCCTGAATGAGCTTCTACTTTAAAAAGAGAGATATGAACCCATAAATATATGAAATATAAGGTAGTAGAAACTGTGCTTTAAATACAAGGTAGTAGAAATTGTGTGCTTTAACAAGCATGCATGTGAGGAACAGGTGACATGGTAACAAGGAGTGAGAGCTCAGTGATTTAGGGAGGGGGGGAGACAAAATTCATCAGGTAAGACTCCATAGAAGAAGTAGAACTGTTGATCAGAGACCAATATTCCCTTTAAACATTTCTGATAGCTGAACAAAGTTCATGTACATCTAATAAGGCATGGCTTTTGAAAAATATAGATTATTCATTTTGTAGTCATGTGAATAAGAGTATGGAGGAATGTGATCCTATGGATAAGAAAAGAGACTTGGAAGGATGATGTCTTTGAATCTTCTCCAGGTCCTCCACATTTTCATTTGTCCATTCGTTCATAGGTATAGTATTTGTACATGGTGGGCTCTGTAGGCTGTCTAAATACGTATATTGCTAAAGGTAAAGTTACACACTTTTGTCTTGGTGTACTCATCAGTGCTTATCTAGTATAATTGGCCTTTATAGTTTCTAATTTAAAGTATAATATTTGTGCTCATTGAAAAAAATTTTTATGGTAAGCTGCCTCATATTTAGCCATGTCAATACTCATTAACTACTTTGTTATAGAAAGGTAGAAAAGAAGAATATAAAACAGGACCTGTTTATTTTGTTAATCAGTTGTAGCACTGGTAAATGAAAAAGTTAATGAGGTAGAATGTTGAAATAAATACTTAAATCAGGTTTTTATTCATGATGTAACCATGGATTTTGAAAATTTGAAATCTAGGGCTGACCTTGATCAGTCCCCAGAGTCAGTGGAATTGGTTGTACATATTAGGTTCAAGAAAACTTGCAATCATTCTGATGAGATTTCCCAATATATGGAATAATACTGTTTAGATGCAAGGATTAGCTGCATTCCTTGAGATAGATCGATGAGTGTTTGAAACAATTTTACCTTTTTTTTTTTTTTTAGTTTATTTTGAAAGAGAAAGAGCATGTGTGCAAGTGGGACGGGGCAGAGAGAGAGAGAGAGAGAGAGAGAGAGAGAAAGGGAGAGAGAGAATTCCAAGTAGGCACTGAGTTGATAGCATGGATCTCATTCTCACAAACCATGAGATTATGACCTGAGCGGAAATCAAGAGTCAAGGCACTTAACCGACTGAGCCACCCAGGTGCCCCAAAACAATTTTACTTTAATTATCCATCATTTTTCATTGTGATTTTAAATGTGTTTATGCTTTGGAGTTGAGAGCTATCAAGCGTACTCTGAAATCTATAAAGAACTGCATTTTCAAAAAGTGCTCTGAGTAATTGGTCTTATGGGTAGGCTCCAGTATAGAGTTAGATGTGCACACAGCGTTGCCTTTCCCTAAAAACACACTGCATGCATTTCCCATTCAGATGATATTTACTACGACTTCATTGGACTGCATATAGTTCTGAATAATTTACACTTATCTCAGCTTTACCTATCCTTGAATTGGATAGGTAATGACTTACGGTGAGCGTTTTTAATTAGCCTTTCTTTTATTTGTGTTAGAAATGACTCTGTGTCATGCATTTTCTCATTCAACAGGATCAGATGTTTGTTGACCTCTGTGTTCCCAGCACCAGCACAATATCTTAGTGAACGAGGTGGATACACTTTCAACATTTATAAAGGTTACGTTCTAATGTGGGAAGCAAACATTAAGCAACTAATTATATGATGTTACCTAAGAGTATATATGTGAAGAGAGAATGTATCAGAGGGACCATCTCAGTGAATTCCTCTTCCACCTTTTTAAAGTTGTGTGATCTTCCATATATTCATCTTCCTAGGACCCATCTTTACATATGTAAATAGGGATAGTAATACTAACTTCATGGGGTTGTTGTGAAAATAAATGAAAAAAAAATGCATGTAAAAAGTTGGGTGCAATGCCTATTACACAGGAACATTTAGTAATTACTACCTATTAGTAGTAATAGGTACTACTTCCCCCCTTCTCTGAGCATTTGGCTTTTAAGCTGAGATCTGAACAATGGTAGGAATTTGCTAAATGGAGAACATTACATAAGAGAAAACACCATGTTCAAAGGCCCTGAGGCAGGATTGCCCATGATGTTTTCAAAGAACTGAAAGAAAGCCATTGTGCCTGGAGCTCAGAAAATGAAGTGGAAAATGGCTTGAGATGAGGCTGAGGTAGGCTGGGGTAGCTAGATCACACAGGGTCTCCTGGGCCTTGTTAAAGAGGATTTAGGGTTTTATTCTAAGGGCAATAGGAAGAATTTCCACAGGGAAATGACATGATTGGATTTGAGTTTTAGAAAGATTGTTCTGGCCTTAGTATTGAGAGCAGTTCAAAACCTTTTATCAAGAATTAAGGGTCTGGCTAGTCTCTAAAGGGACCTTTCGGGGAATAATATTGGTGGGTATTTTTGCTAGTGTCATCTTCTTAGGTGTTGGTCTCAGAACAGCAGTCAGTGATGTAACTGACATTGTCAATTTCTAGTTTTTAAGTAAATCTGGGGATCATGGATATGTGAGTGTGTATATGTATATGTACATATATACAAAAATATAAAAACACAGAGTGTGTGTGTATACACATATATATACAGATATGTCAGTATAAATATACACACGTATGTATATGTACACACACACACACATTCTGTCACCCAAAAAGGAGAGAGCCCAACTTATTTTCTGAATATGATCATTCAGTCTCAATGTTTTTTTGAATTATGGCATAAATGTTTAAGAGATGAGGGAGAGAAAATATATTTACCAATCCCTTTAATCTGTAAGGTATAATGACACATCAGGATGATTACTCTTCATGTGAGATTGGGAATTATTGTGTTATACATAACAACTTTATAATATACATCCCAAAATTTCAGTTGCAGAGATACAGGCGAATGCTGTGTTCTCCTCTGTGTCATGATGAATGCAGCAGTTGTGCATATATACAAGAATAGATCATACTGAGCATCCCCTGAGCTCTGTTTGCAGACAAGTCGTATCTCCACCATGACAAAATTCCCACAAGATTTTGAATTATTAATGTTTTGGAATCTGCGGGATTCAGCAGATATGTTCAGTGTTATTGATGGCAGCAAACTTTATCTCTTTTATTTCTGAGACACATAATGAAATGGGGAGTCCGTCAAATAACCACAGTTAGTGTTTAGGTTAATTTTGTAGGGGCCATTGGGCTTTTGCCTTAATGTGTATAAATACGGTTTTTCTCTCTCACAGCAGATTGCACGGTAGATAGAGGGAGAGTGAATTGGCACTAATTTATGAACCCTTCCAGCCTTCTCACTGCTGTACACCCTGTGAGGGCAAGATGCTATAATTACACTTACTTCACATAATGAGAGCTTTTAATGACAATTACTGATGAGAGTTAGGGATGTTTGGGGACCTTACAGAAGATGCATTGACTCTTAGAAGAGACGACTTCATGTGCCTTTTGTGTGGCTCAGTCCCTAACAACTGACCAGCTACTCAGTAGAGCACAGCTCCATAGCCCCAAATATTTGAGTGGACTACGAACCAAGGGCGTAAGGTATACTTTATTTCTCAACTCAGAATAGGTCAAAGAGTTCAAGAATTCTGTTTGCTTTTAGCAGTGTTTTTACTTTACGCTTTTTTTTTCCCCCTTGGTCACACAGACACAGGCCATTTTTCTTTTTGGTAACAAGAATAACCCATAGTCCAGACTGTTCTTCTTGGAGACATTGATTTGCACAGTCACAAATGGGTACCTAACATTATTTTCCTCTTCACACATTTGCCATGTTCAAGTTTGATGGGCCAACACTTAAAAGCTCTGGTATACTTTATATTAATATGTATATGACAATTGTAATAAAGATAAAAAATAGAGATAATTACTTATTCTAAGGGCTTGAGTTTATATGGTCTACATGTCCTTTTATGAGTAAAGCAGAAATTTTCCTTATGAGTGAAGATGACACGTTTTGTTACATTTTTATAAACAATTAGACATTTCAATCATACAACACGTCAACATTTAACTAGCAGGATGATAGCACCCCTTTTCAGCTTCAGGATCTCTCTCCTTAAAGAAAATGGGTCAAGATTTGTTAATTTGTTTCTTTTTCCTTTTCAAGTTGCTCTGAGCATTAGTTTCTCCCAAAGCTCCTCTTGCTTTTATATTCTGTATATTTACAACCATTTACTTTCAATTTTTGCATTTTGAATTTTCTGTATTTATGTCTGCTAACTCTAAAGTTATCATTAAAAGCAAAAAGTACTTGAAATGCAGGCACATTTAAACCCAGTAAATTTAAATAACTTACAAGTAATCTGATAAAGTAGAAGGGAAAATGGTTCATGTTTTCATGACTTCTGCTG